TTATTAAATTTGTATCCTGCCCTTCACCCATAAATCTTGGGGCTGTTCACAGCATAATTGGGGAAGACTAAAGGGAATCATGGTCAGAACAAACCAGGGAAGGAGTGTTTTCCACCCTTGGGTGCTGCAGAGTCCAAGAGAGGGTGGTCTGGGTGTCATTGAGCTTGCAAGCTGATATAAAGGGCCTAAGCAGAGAGTCAGCAAGTATGGTTCTTCTGTAAATCATCATCAGAATTCTTCTTCTTGTTAACCAACCACAAACCACGTAGTTCTGTCTCTTTTCCTGATGGTTTTCAAACTGACCGGGTGTTTCTCTTCAGCCTCTGCACCACCAAACAAGTAGGGTGTGCAACAGCTAGAAGCCACCAGCCACCCCACCCCTCAACTCTGATTTCAGTAAGCATCAGTTTCATTAAAAGAACTGGGCTGTATCTCTGTTCGTTGGTGGAAGGAAGACATTGCCTTCCTCTCCCGTTCCACCGACAGATTCCTCCCATTGGTGTACCTACCAGCAGCTGTGGATTTCACCCAATATCTGTCACCTAGGTGTTACGGAAAAATCTATGTGCAAGGCTGCTCAGTCACCCAGCTACTGGGGCAGAGCCCACAGAATAAAGGAAGGAGTCCAGCCACCAACCGGAGCAAATAGCTGTAGACCAAAGTTTATTGCGCAACAGGTTCAAAGAGGAATTTTGAACCCCGAGGATGGGGTGACAAGGACTTTTAAAAGTTTCGATCTTATCCCAGCATACAGTTCATTAAGCACCATCACAACATCATTGCTATATCAGAAAAGGGGAGGGTTATACATGATTAACATAGGAGGAATGTGTTGGGGCAACAGGCGGATACAGGATATGTATTGGGAAGTACATTCTAAGCACCCACTGAAAGAGGACAATAGAACTTTGGTTTGCATAGTCTGCCACCTGGGCAAGTCTGGAGGAGTGCCTTTGCCCAGTGATTGACATCTATAAGTACCTTCCTGTGAGTACTGACCTCCCGCTTGAGGGATTATGCCGGGGACCGAGTGGTTTCCAAGTCCTTGGCCAATGAAGCAAATTGGCGGTGGAATGAAGGAAACTGGCAAAGGAGTTGATTCCCCCTCCCCAATTTTTTAATTCATTTTATAACACAACTAAACAACACAAACAGAAAAACAAACAATACAAACAAATTCTTGTCTTATCCTTATTTTTTCTAAACATTGTTAGATGAACTTCCCCAAGTCCCCCCATCTGATTTTCATTTTACCTCATCTTTAGCAGATTACATATATCATAATTTCTAACCATTTTTTTTATCACGCTTACTTTTACCATAAAAATCTTCACATTTTATCACCTACAAATAATACTATTTTAAAATACACTATCTTCTACTTCTAACCGTACAGCCTATATCCACTTCTAAAGCTATTCTAAGATTTAAATATTAACATATTTTTTCAAATATTCTTTAAACGCCTTCCAATCTTCTTCCACCGTCTCTTCTCTCTGGTCTCGGAGTCTCCCAGTCAGTTCGGCAAGTTCCATATAGTCCATCATCTTCATCTGCCATTCTTCGATAGTTGGTAAATCTTGCTTCTTCCAATTGATTTAATATGATTTTTAAAGCTAGGTAACTGCCCTGAGCCGTCAAGTCAAAAGGATACATTTATGCATAATATTTGTAACATTTAACAACTTTAAAGATGTGCCCCCCCCCGTAATTTCCGTAAAATAGGTAAACAAAAGATTTAGAGAAACAGTCATCTACAATTCAACGGTCATGGCAATGTATTCTAGTCTGCTGTAGATCTTTCATATTCCACCAGGGGGCATTGCAGCACAATAAATATATCTGCTTCGGAGATCACTGTTGGGGCCAAATCTTAAAATCAACTGCTCACAAGTTTAAGCAGGAAATGGAAGCGTGGAAAGCACAGAGCACGTAAATCCATGTGTATATTCTCTTATTAAGGTTCTATAAAGGACATAGTTACTTTGAAATCAGCATTTGAATTTTTTCCTTCATTATATATTAATTATATTCTAGAGAGGGAGGATAAACAGTGAAGATAAGAGCAAGGCTGCATACGCACCATAAATTTAAATCGTATTACTGCCTTTGCTAAGAATCCTGGGAACTGTAGTTTATTCCCCAAAGGGCTACAGTTCCCAGCCCCCTTAACAAACCACAGTCCTCAAAAGTTACCGGCCTACACATGTTTTCATTAATCTTTTAAGAGCTAGTAGCTTGTGCTTCTGTCCTTGCTGCAGACCCCTCTTTTCTCGGTAGCCATCGTGGAAACACAGGGGACTAGCAGCTTAGCCAGCTAGCAAAAAAACCAAAATTCACTTCTAGGGAAAAAAAGCTGGTGGAGGAGGAGGGGCAGATCTGAGGCCAGACAGGTTCCTCTCCCTCCACAGCCAACATGGAAATCATCTTCAAAACTCCATCATCTTAAAATTGTTATAATCGCAGACTTTGAGGGTGGCATAGCATGTCCCACATTTTATATACCAACTAACCCATGTGCATACAAACATTTCATTCTGCACCGGTCCTGGCGAAGGGTAATGGAAAACTCAAAACCTTAATTAACAACAGCTACTAGAGACTAGGATGTGGGTGGCGCTGTGGGTTAAACCACAGAGCCTAGGACTTGCCGATCAGAAGGTCGGCGGTTCGAATCCCCACAACAGGGTGAGCTCCCATTGCTCGGTCTCTTCTCCTGCCAACCTAGCAGTTCGAAAGCACGTCATAGTGCAAGTAGATAAATAGGTACTGCTCCAGTGGGAAGGTAAATGGTGTTTCTGTGTGCTGCTCTGGTTCGCCAGAAGTGGCTTAGTCATGCTGGCCACATGACCTGGAAGCTGTACGCCGGCTCCCTCAGCCAATAAAGCGAGATGAGCACCCCAACCCCAGAGTCGGCCACGACTGGACCTAATGGTCAAGGGTCCCTTTACCTTTACTTACTAGCGATTAGCCCCAGGCTGCCTCTGATGGGAATTGCGGGGGGGGGGGGGGGGAGAGAGAAAGAGAGCACTGTTGCATTCAAGTCCTTTTTGCAGGTTTCCCATAAAAATGGGTAGAGGGCCCCTGGACGGTTAAGTCCAATCAAAGGCGACTATGCGGTTGCAGCACTCATCTCGATTCAGGCCAAGGGAGCCGGTGTTTGTCCACAGACAGATTTCCGGGTCAAGTGGCCAGCATGACTAAACCACTTCTGGTACAACAGGACACAGTGACAGAAACCAGAGCACATGGAAACGCCATTTACCTTCCTGCTGCAGTGGTACCTATTGATCTACTTGCACTGGTGTGCTTTCAAACTGCTTGGTTGGCAGGAGCAGGGACAGAGCAACGGGAGCTCACCCCCGTCGCAGGGATTCGAACCACCAACCTTCTGATTGGCAAGCCCAAGAGGCTCAGTGGTTTAGACCACAGCGCCACCCGCATCCCCATACTATTCTCATGAAACCTATTGGAACATATGAAACAGCCATATGCATTCAGTTCAGTATCGCCTACGCTGTCTGGCAGCAACCCTCCAGGATTTGCAGGCAGGAGTCTTTCCCCAGACTTACCTGGAGATAGCGGGAATTGAACCTAGAACTTCTGGCATGCACAATACATGCTCTGCTATTTAGCCGCAGCCCTGGGCCTTCGGAGCAATCTTTGACCTTCAGGCTATCAGTCCAAATTTGCTATCTTGCCTGATAACAATCTTTGCAACTGCTGGCTGTTCCTGCATTCCAGCTTTAATCACTCCAACACTGCTGGTGCATTCATTGTGACTCAACTCCACAGTCTCCTCCTCTCCTCCCCGTTGCAATCTCTCCCCTTTTACATCCCAATCTATCTTTGCATGTGGCTTCTGCTGCGCCAGCTCTGCCATCCGAAGGCCTCCGTCTCCCAGGAAAGGCTCCATCATTTCTGCCTTGTTGCCCCCATGTGCTTGGGACTTAACTCCCAGAAAACCTGCATGGTCCCCACTTCCCTAAAAGGTAAAGGTAAAGGACCCCTGACAGTTAAGTCCAGCCGCAGATGACGCACTCATTTCACTTTACTGGCCGAGGGAGCCGGCGTTTGTCCGCAGACAGTTTTTCCGGGTCATGTGGCCAGCATGACTAAGCCGCTTCTGGTGAAACCAGAGCAGTGCACGGAAACGGCGTTTACCTTCCCGCCGGAGTGGTACCTATTTATCTACTTGCACTTTGATGTGCTTTCAAGCTGCTAGGTTGGCAGGAGCAGGGACCGAGCAACGGGCGCTCACCCCGTGGCGGGGATTCGAACCACCAACCTTCTGATCGGCAAGTCCTAGGCTCTGTGGTTTAACCCACAGCGCCACCCGCATCCGCCCACTTCCCTAAGTCCCTTCAAAACCCCTCTTAAAACCAACTTTTTCCATGGAGTCTTAAGTACAAGCCTTTAGTTCCCCTGGTAGTGAGTTGGTAATTACAGCACCCATTCACCTCTGCTTCAACTTTCCTCTCCATCTTCTGCTGTCTCCCTGTGTCAGATTGCAGGCTGTCAGGTCTTGGGGGCAGAGACCTTCCCATGTGTACTAGGAAAAACCCCATGCATTCTGATGGTACTCTGTAAATAATAAACAATAATTGCTGTATGTATACAGCACTCTAAGGACAATTCATTTATTCACAACCCTTTCCCCAAACAGAACAACGAGAACTCAAGAATCGTAGACTCTTGACCAGAAAAGTCCATGACCAGAGGGAGGAGGAGCACCAAAAGGAATGGAAGAAATTCAAAGACTATTTAGCTAAATATCTTAAGATAATCTAATTAGAATTACTTGCGAGTACCAGATAGGCCTAGGATTTGAAAATGCGATGTGTAAAATATTATGTTAAAATTAAAAATGAAAAGAAAGTAAGATGTTAATTGACCAAGTAAAGTTTATGGGGAAATAGTTTTGGAAAACTGTTACAATGGTTTATGTGGAAACTCAGACAGGGGGATTTGAGGAAGTCAACTAACAATGTTAACAAAAGTGGAATTATTATAATCAGGATAAATGTTTGTTTGTTGGTTTGTTTGTTTTCTTTTTCTTTTTCCTATCTGTTTGTTATAAATTTGGAAAATTAATCAATTTTTTTAGGGGGGAAAAAGAATCATAGACTCTTGGAGCTGAAAGGGACGCTGGGGGTCATCTATTCCAAGCTCGATGAGAGAGGCAACGACAGCCCCCTTGATGAATGCCTTCCACCCTGTCTCTGCTTAAAGGAGCCCACCGTCTCCCAAGACAGTTTTGTTCTACTGTCACAGCAACTCTCCCTGCTATGACGTTCCCCCTAATGATTTTTTTTTTTTAGCCTTCTCGCTGACATCTTTTAGCTAAACATTTTCTTATCTGGCTGACCTTTCATTCTTGTCTCAGGGTTTGCAAAGCTTCCCCCCCCCCCCCCGCTGCCCATTTGATGTTCGCTTCATTTCATTTAGGAATCACCATACAACTTCCCAAAGCAATTTAGCAATAAAAACGTCACTAATAAAAACAGATAAAAAATAATAATAAAAATAAAATAATAATAATAATAAAGGCAGACCGGGACAAGATTCTCCACTTGTTGGAAAAGGAAGTTCCTGGGTCGTTGCTGGAAAGACAACAAACAAGGATTTTACTGAGAATCAATCTATGCCTAAATGAATACCGTATTTTTCACTCTATAAGACGCACCAGACCATAAGACGCACCTAGTTTTTGGAGGAGGAAAACAAGAAAAAAAATATTCTGAATCTCAGAAGCCAGAACAGCAAGAGGGATCGCTGCGCAGTGAAAGCAGCAATCCCTCTCGCTGTTCTGGCTTCTGGGATAGCTGCACAGCCTGCATTCGCTCCATAAGACGCACAAACATTTCCCGTTACTTTTTAGGATGTAAAAAGTGAGTCTTATAGAGCAAAAAATACGGTACCTTAAAAGCCAAGGTTTGAGGACAGAAATCTGGCTGAGTCTGGAATAATCTTGTGAAGTGAAAGGATAAGAAAGAGGGATTTATAGATGCTAGGATACAGATGATAAGGAAAATAGGAAGATACAATGAGAGGTAAAGGAGGTGCTGTGGGATTGGTGGAAGCCATTGTTTGTTTTCCTTTTTAGTGTTTATATTATTAATTTGTAAGATTTGGATTTGTTTTCTTATATGCTTGTTTTTGTGTTTTGTGTCTTGTTATTTTTCGGGGGGGGTTGTGTGTGTGTGGAAAATACTAATAAAATTTATTATTATTATTATTATTTTTTAAAAAAGAGAATCAATCTATTGAGACCACTCCCTTCTTTAGAAAGAGATCGTGGCTCTCAAAGAGCTCAGATGGTCCTGTAGGTGAAGCCGCACTAAAGAAATGTCCACATTAGTGTCTCAAAACACCCCCCAAAAAACCCAACTCCTATTCATGCCATCTGCGCATGAGCTGTCATTGGTTCATGAGAACTGGCTGCCTCAGATCCAGCATTGCAGGGGGTTGTAATAGGAGTACTTGGGGATCCCTTCCAACACTACAATTCTATGAGTCTAGGTACATGCCTGTCAGGGAGCTAGACAGTGATTAAATCACACTGAGTACATGAAGATAATGCTTTATCAGAAGAAACAAGGTGAAATATACTCGGAGTCGAGAGTGGATTTCATGCTCTTTATTCAGCTCATAGCGCTGAGGAGGAATGGAAGTTCCCCCAGAATGTCTGCCTTATATACATTATTTACCCAGTGGGCCCCACGTGATTGGCTAATTCTGGGATTCTCCTGTAGGCCAATCAGGTTGTGGATTCACTTCCACCTGGAGCTGGATTGGGTGGCTCCTGTAGACGAATCAGACTGTTGCATTCTGGATCCTATTGTTCTAGGACCAATCAGACTGCTGCATTCTGGGTCCTATTGTTCTAGGACCAATCAGACTGCTTCATGCTGAATCCTATTGTTCTATGACCAATCAGACTGCTGCATTTTGGATCCTATTCAACTCAGTACATAACACAAGGCCTGCACAGGGGAGTCAGTCCTAATTAGCACAGCAACTCTTCTCAGTAGGCACTGAGCCTGCGATGCAGTTGGGGAGGCTGACGTTCCCCGCCTTCCCACAGCTGCCTAAATCTCCTCCTCCTCTCCTGGGTCCTTCCCAGGCAATCTGAGACGACGCCGACACGCCTGTCGCTGCTTCTCCCCCTTCATGCCTGGTTCCGGGAGACTAGGGGAGAGGGGAGCTTCGAGACTCCCACGCTTCTCCACCAGCCAGACCCATCTCTGCCTCTTGAACTCCCACCCCTCCTCTGTCTCCAGCCAGCGCATGACAATATAGTTGCCACAGTGTGTGCAAGATCCCATGATCTACGGATAAGAACTTTTATCTGTGAGTTCCTGCTTCTTCTCCTACATGAACTGCTTCCCACAAATGTCTCAAAGCAATTGCACAATTGGAAAAAGCCAGCAGCAAGAACAGTTGCACTATTTCACATAGTAAAACGATTGTGACAGTTAAAAACATGTCTTTGCATGCAAAAACAATGTCAAGTGCAATAACGGGCTAGAATAAATAACTTCAACGGCTTCTTGAAAAAGGAAAATTTTCACTGGGCACCAAAAAGACAACACAAGAAGCACCTTTCTGATGTGCATTTTAGTTTGTCATTTGTTTTATTTAACACAATGCACATACTGCTTGATTTGTGCTAAAACCTCTAAGCGGCTTACACAGATTCAAAAGCCAGCGGTGGGAGCACCTTGAAGCCAGAGTAAACTGCAATGTGTCCGCAACCTGACAGTGCACTGCAGTAGAGGGAACTACATTGTAAGGAAGGAAATGGAGAATGTGGAGATCAGCGAAGTCAGCAGACCACAGCAGTATCTGCACAAAAATCAGAAAGCTAACTCTGGTCTTCGTCAATGACCACGGTGCCAACCACATCTCTCCACTGTGCTTTTTGCAAACGCAGTTGATATTTATGATGGGGAAACCTGTAGCCCTCCGAACGTGGCTGGATTACAGAGAGCCAGTGTGGTGTAGTGGTCATGGGGTCGACCTAGGGCCTGGGAGAGCAGGGTTCAAATCCCCACTCAGCCATGAAGCTCGCTGGGTGATCTTGGCCCTGTACCTGCCTGGCTACCTTGCAGGGTCATTGGCGAGGATGCAACGAGGAGGGGAGAGAACCCTGGAGGAAAAGACAGTAGGTACATAAATGCAAGAAAACGGATAAATAAAACCAGTGAGTCTGATCGATCCCTGACCATTGGCGATGCAACAGCAGGTGGGGAACTGTCATGATGGTGAAGAGAAGAAGAAGAAGAAGAAGAGTTTGGATTTGATATCCCGCTTTATCACTACCCAAAGGAGTCTCAAAGCGGCTAACATTCTCCTTTCCCTTCCTCCCCCACAAGAAACACTCTGTGAGGTGAGTGGGGCTGAGAGACTTCAGAGAAGTGTGACTAGCCCAAGATCACCCAGCAGCTGCATGGGGAGGAGCAGAGAAGCGAACCCAGTTCACCAGATTACGAGTCTGCCGCTCTTAACCACTACACCACACTGGCTCTCCAGTGTGAAAAGACAACATGGACAAATTAGCCATCCCCTGAGGTTGAATTCATGTGAAAGAAAATCTGCCTCATAGCTTCTTCTGCCTCATGCGTTCCTTGGCCTGCTAAGCACTTAATCTCTGAAGGACAACATGCCCGGGACTTGCCCCCCCCCACGCATCAACTGTGCCACATTGAAAGAGCCATTGTATACCTTTCAGAGCGTTAGAGTTGGCAGCATGCACAGTGACTCTGTTGCATGTGAATCTTGTCATACGCTTCAGCCGTTTCTACAGAACAGTTCACTGAGGGGCCACTTGCTACTGAAGTACAGTCATTTCATAGAATCATAGAATCTCAGAGTTTGAAGGGACCTGGGGGTCATCTAGTCCAACCCCCTGCAATGCAGGGATCTCAGCTAAAGCATCCATGACAGATGGCCATCCAACCTCTGCTTGAAAACCTCCAAGGATGGAGAGTCCACCACCTCTTGTGGGAGTCTGTTCCACTGCCAAACGGCTCTTGCTGTCAGAAAGTTTTCCCAGATGTTTAGTCAGAATCTCCTTTCTTGCAACTTGAAGCCATTGGTTTGAGTCCTACCCTCCAGAGCAGGAGAAAACAAGCTTGTTCCCTCCTCCATGTGACAGCCCTTGAGATATTTGAAGATAGATATCATATCTCCTCTCAGTCTCCTCTTTTCCAGGCTAAACATACCCAGCTCCTTCAACCGTTCCTCATCAGGCTTGGTTCTGAGACCCTTTATCATCTTGATCGCCCTCCTCTGCACATGTTCCAGCTTGTCAACATCCTTCTTAAATTGTGGTGCCCAGAATTGGACACAGTATTCCCATTGTGGTCTGACCAAGGCAGAATAGAGTGGTACTATTATTTCCCTTGTTCTGGACACTATACTTCTGTTGATGCAGCCTAGAATAGCGTTAGTTTTTTGGCTGCTGCATCACACTGTGGACTCATGTTAAGCTTGTGGTCCACCAAGACCCCTAGATCCTTTTCACATGTACTGCTAGTAAGCCAGGTGTCCCCCATCCTATATTTGTGCATCTGCTTCTTCCTGCCTAAGTGCAGAACTTTACATTTGTCCCTACTGAAATTCATTTTATTAGCTTGCGCCAGTTCTCCAATCTGTTAAGGTCGTTCTGAATTCTGATTCTGTCTTCTGCGGCATTAGCTACCCCTCCCAGTTTGGTGTCATCTGCAAATTTGATGAGCAAATTCCTTCATCCAAGTCATTTATAAAGACATTGAACAACAACGGGCCCAGGATGGAACCCTGTGGCACCCCACTTGTCACTTTTTTCCAGGATGACGAGGAACCATTAATGGGTTCAGTCAGTCAACCAGCTACAAATCTAGCTAACAGTTACGTCATTCAACCCATATTTTACCAGCTTCCTCGCAAGAATATCATGGCGGACTTTGTCAAAAGCCTTACTGAAATCAAGATATACTATGTCCACAACACTTCTCTGATGCACCAAGTTTGTAATTCCATCAAAAAAAGAGAAAGAAATAAGATTGGGCTAGCACGAC